TTTTGATGAGGATGAAAAATAACAAAATTTGATTTTTCGATGTTAAGGGACAACTTGTTAGCACACAGCCAGACATTGATATTGACCGACTCTTGATTAATATTCGATTCCAGATCTACGGCGAACAATACACGAATTGAGTACAAATAAGTCATGAATATTAAGTGGAGTTAAAAACAAGCCAGAATTTAGCTCAACATTTCCGATATAATTTACGCTTCCGCTTTAAAAAAAATGCCCCCCCCCCCCAGATAAAGGCTAGGACTATACCAAATACTGTATTCCCATTTCCTACCTACGTTCTTTGCTTTTCAAAAAGTCGTCGTGAGGACTACGAGGTTTGTCCGAAATTTCGTACTCAGATGGGCGACGGCTACGACTTTTTCGCGTCTGTACGGAATGGCGTAAGCCGTGATACAGCGCGCGTTTCGCTTGACTGACAATCTCGTACTCGTACAATCGTACTTGTATAGCTCCCTAATGTCCCTAAAGCTCCCTAATGTCTCAGCACCCGCTTCAACTAGAGCATCTTGAGATAATTTCGGATAGATGATACGGAGGGCTCGCTTCTGTATAACTTCTCCAGATCTTCGCTATAAGTAATGAGGTAATGAGTCGCACATGTATATCAATTACACAGCCAGGACCAATAAATGAGGACGCACTGCATAGGTCATGCACGTATAAAATGTTAATAAGTAAATGCAGCTTTCCAGTTAAGAGTTTTTCAAAGCTATCCGGTACAGTGTAAACGTATAGCCTACGTTTTATGCAACGCAGTTAAGTTATGTACCAAATGCGAAATAAAATAAAAAGTATCAATATTCAATACCAATAAAAAAGTCCCTCAACAGTTTTAAACTATATATAGTCTATATACATTCGCAGGTGCCATCGATATTGCTGGCAGTAGTGCAGTTCACGTCGTTGGTGGCGTCAGTGGACTGGTGGCGACAATATATCTAAAACCAAGGTCCGGGATATTTCAAGGAGATCGCAATGGCGAGAAGCTAAACCAAATGGCTTCCCCCACAAATGTTTTGCTCGGCACGTTCATGCTGTGGTGGGGATGGCTTGGCTTTAACTGTGGAAGTACATTTGGTATTAGTGGAGAAAAGTGGAAACTTGCAGCGAGGTATGTTTGGGAGATGGACGTTGTGGGAATGCAATGACGAAGGGTTGAAGCAATTTTACCCAGGACGAGCCGAAGCAATCTTAAAATCTGGAGTCGGTAGAGCGCTATTTTCAGCAATTTGGTCGGTCTTTTTATCAAGTTTTGTGATTTTCAATGATCTTTTAATTATTGCTAAACTCCTTGGTAATGATATCATGTCGGTCTAGTCCATATACACCTCCAGCCAAATCGAAAACTTTCCCAGGTTATGGAAACTTATGAAAACTTTCAACGGCTTATGCTTAAGACTTTAGCAGTGATGACATGTTCCAGACTTGTCACAAAAACCGAGAACAGCCAGTGCAAACACATCCCGATATTGGCTTGACATCAACCTTAATTGTTACAACTTGCTATAATACGAAATAATTTCAAAAAATATTTTAAAAAAGTTTAAAAAGGCGGAAAAAAGTTAAAAAAGTTAGATTTTCAAAAAAGTTTAAAAAGTTAGATTAGCTAGGGTTAGTGGTTAGGGGTTAGTGGTTAGGGGTTAGTGGTTGGGGTTAGGGGTTAGGTGCCGCGAATTTATCATAATGATAAATTCGGACGTGTTTAAGAATTTACTCATATAGTAAGGCAAAGGTTGGAGCTCATGCTGATAACTTAAATCGTTATCCTACTGAGTTTAATGAAGAATGAGCTGTTTAATTTGTCACAATACTTTTACTGAATAGAAGAGTAAAATAATTAATATTTACTTTGTTGAACGATGGCGTCATCCCACGAGTATACCACAGTCCACAAGCCAAATTGCGATATACGATTGTGCATGTGCTTTGTCCTTGGATTGCATTTATATATCCAGCAAATTTGGTGACGGGTTACAGCGAGTAAAATGCTAGCTGAGCTTTTGCGATTCGTTGTTGACCATCCAAGTCAATCGTTTTGTTTTTACAATAGATCTGCCGTATGTACGATTAATGGGTCAATTGGAGGAGGAATCGCAGGGATGTTTTACAGGTGCGTATAGAATTTTTTTATCTAATCGTGACTGGTGTGTTAATAGGTGTATTATATGACATTTCGAACACTCAATAATTCATAAGCTTAACAAATCATGTCAACCATGATAGTCACGTGCAGTGGCTTTAAACCTGATAAAACACTCCTAATTAGTATTCTTTATATAAAGAATACTAATAAGGCAATATCCATTGTAGTCGTGTCCTCATAAGTATTCTTTATATAAAGAATACTAATAAGGCAGTATATCTATTGAATTTGTAGTCGTGTTTGAAGCCGTTTAATAAACTCGCAGATCGTGTTTTATTAGGTATAAAGCCACTCGCGCTGCGCGCTCGTGTCTTTAAACCTAATAAAATACTCCTGCTCGTTTATTAAACAGTACATTGTACTCATTCTCGTCGTATATGGTTGATAGGCAACTCGATCGGTGTTACGCACCTCGTCGGCTATTATAGCTCATCGAGAGTAGAAAGTCAATAAATAACAATTTATTTAGTTGAGCAAATTCAGACAGTTGTCAAGAAGATTTTAACCCAATCCAAAAGGCAAAATGTACAATGAAATTTCTGTGCAATTTGATTGATGCATGTTAACTTAATTAATTCAAAATATCAATATGGAACGTCACTCAAACAAACCTCCAATAAAATAGTATGTTTCTTTTTTTAGTTATATATTTTACAAGAACAAGTTAAACGTTCAAATATTTGTGACTGGACTGCTCGGTGGTCTTGTTGGAGTAACTGGTAATCCTATGGATGTTTATTCTTCACAAATTAATCATACTAAGATTGTAATACATACAGTATAATCATTCAACATTTTGCCCTTCCCGTATGATTCACCTGTATGCTGTGCAGAAATTTCTATATAGTTAAAGCCAATAGCAATCAAGCGTCTTTCACCTCAGAGAATTGTGCGTTCGATTCTCGCTGCGGACGCACGACAAAGAAAGAAGCCAGTCAACGCTCTACCGAATTCGTGGGTTTTCTCCGGATAAGTCTCCGGTTTACCGCCACAGAGAATGTTGACAGGGTGGTTTCGGTCAAACTGACTCTTCCACCACAGCTGTGTAATATGAGTACTTATAAGGTGGCTGCCATGCTTCGACTCGATCAAGTTGAGCAGCGTTCTTCGCAATTCATTTCTCAGCTGCAAGTAAGGATGATTAGCACACCCCTATGGTATTTACTAATTGTATGTTAAAACATGATTATTTTGTCCATATTTCCAGCTATATGTGCCATTACCAGACCAAGTTATGCGCTAGTAATCGGAGCAATTGGCAGTTTGGTTGCTTGTACAAGCTGTAAAATACTGGAACGACTCCGTATTGACGATCCGGTCGGCTGCGTTCCTGTTCACCTTTGTTCCGGAGCCTGGAGTCTGATTGCTGTCGCTTTCTTCTTAGAGAAAGACAAATCGGGAAAATTTTCTTCTCATTACGTGATGGTGCACAACGGGAGGTGGAATTTGCTCGGAGCTCAAGTTGCGCTTACCATTGCATCATGTCTGTGGTCAGCTTGTGTAACTTTGATTCTTCTAGCAAGTATTAATCTCGTTGTTCCAATACGAATGAGCCTGGAAGATGAATTGAAAGGTTCTGATAGATGTGAGCATGGTATAATACTACCCGGCACTTTCGAGAACACCACAGAACATTCTGCATACGGAACCAGGACATTTTCTCGTAAAGACTGGGAGAACCAAAATTCTTCTAACCAAGCTGGAACTTCAAATTCAAGTGCTTCAGGACCAGGTAGCACCGCAAGTGACATGACTAATGAACATGAATGTGAAAATGGAGGCGATTTAGAAATCCATAGATCTCGTTTATGTATTTCAGAAGAGCCTAAGTTAAGCATTGTAGCAGACAATGATAACCAACAGACCAATGGACAGTCCAACGTTGGATTTAACACTGACTTCTGAATATTTTCTCTGATTAAAAGTTTCTTGGTTAAGTATGGAATGGTATTAATAGATGAAGATGATGATCAAGTAGAACAGATGCCGAGTTTATTGAAATTAAATTAATCGCATTTCAATGTTTAACCGTATCACGGTTATCAGCAGGATTAAATGCATTTATGCATCACATGTACATATACAGCTATTTCAATTAAGGTTGTCCACGAGCAAAGCGGAAAAGTGGAATACGAGCGCGAAAGGCTGCTGGGAATCGCTTTGAAATTTCATTAATTTGTTAACGATTCCCAGCAGCCTTTCGCGCATGTATTCGACTTTTCCGCTTTGCTCGTGGACAACCTTAATTGAAATAGCTGTATACAAAAGAAACGAATAGAGTAAAACTCACATAAAAAAAACCCTTAAGAGATGAGGCAATTAGATATCTAAAGTCTAAGGTTACAGAACACCTTTGAGTGTTAATTTTGCCTAATTTTTTTTTATTGGTTTCCATGAAAGCATTAGACTAGTAGTTCTACTATCTGACCAAGTTTGGACGAAAAATGTTGAAAACTCGCAGAGTTATTTAATACAATACATTTCGCTTGCAATAAGAAAAACAATGAAAATGTAATATTCAAATTCAATTTTCTCCCGAAGAATTTTACGGCAATTACTGATTTTTAAACGAGTTGTGCTCCTACGGGTTTTAACGAATTTTTCTTAAATGAATGAATCTTAAAACCAGCAGGAACATAACTCAAAATGCGTAAAGGTACCGCGACTTAGGATTTTCCTGAATAATTCTTACATTATTTTATTGTTTGTCAATTTTACAACTTTATCATATTTTGCATGCACTGGCTAACATTTGGTGAAAATTTGATGAAAATCGGACTGATTTTGAGCGCGCAGTAGCGATTTTCCACAAAACGCCAAAAAGGGTATGGCTCTAATTTTCCCATCAAATTTACAACTAATAATGTCCTTTTTCATCGACTATTCCGTTGTTGTTGTTGTTGTCGTTGTTGTTGTTGTTGTTGTTGTTGTTGTTGTTGTTGTTGTTGTTGTTGTTGTTGTTGTTGTTGTTGTTGTTGTTGTTGTTGTTGTTGGTGTTGTTGTTGTTGTTGTTGTTGTTGTTGTTGTTGTTGTGGTTGTTGTTGTTGTTGTTGTTGTTGTTGTTGTTGTTGTTGTTGTTGTTGTTGTTGTTGTTGTTGTTGTTGTTGTTGTTGTTGTTGTTGTTGTTGTTGCCCTATATCCGGCCCACTGATTATAATATTCTCGTTGTGATTAATGTTTTTCTATAAATTGATTGAAATCTTTATCAAACTAAACACCTGGTTATTCGATCAGTCCGTCTCACTCCTTTCTGTACACCGGTCCTATAAACACATGCATTTGATTTTTAATATGAAATTGCACGGCTCGCTGATTAACTAAACCATGCAAGTAGTACATCAATAGTTATTATTACATAGCAAGTGTCAAAGTTCAATTTTCCTGTTTGTCGATTGGACAAAACCGTATCACGTGCCGGTCGACAAAACGCCATGTTCACTGCATGCTTAGTGAGGGGGCGAATGCTCAACAAATAAAACCGGATGTTAGGCGCGAGCTGTTCGCATCAACCAGCAAGTTCAAAGCAAAGTTCTTTCAAGAGTGTCAGCATGTCTGCCGATCAGTTTAATTACAGTTTTGGAATACCAGATGCATGAATTATTGAGGCTTTGACACTTGCTATAGTAATGTAATCTCGGGGCCACAAACGTACACACTGTTTTCCTCGGTCTCAGTAAATAAGTGATAATTGTGTGATACGTAAATTATGTAATCCTTCTGACCTCACCCTTTTGAACTCAGTTATATTTATCAAAAGCATGTTTGCGACAGTGACACTAGATACTGGTTTAAAACTTTGTAGTAACATTAATTAATTTGTCGAATTTGATGGAAACGTTTCAGTTATATAATTATTTAATGTTTACCAAATCAACAAATATTAAGATAATGGTAAAATGTTGCAAAATTTGCAGGAATTTATATGCATATATTGAATTATATTAATGATAGTATTGTCCATGTATAAATTGTAGCTAAATGGCAATAAGCCTGATGAAATAGATGAATATAATGCTTAATACCCGAGAGAGTAGTTGTTGTTAATAGTTTGTAGCCAAATAATAGTAACTAAGGCCAACTATTGTTATAATTAGTCGGGCAAAAGAGGCAGAATACTCAGGCACCCGGCGGACTGTTTACAGGGGCTCGGACGGGTAAGTGTGACCACGGTACGTGTAATGATTTCGGTAAGTGTGACCACGTCGCTGTGGTGTCTATTCGGCACACTTCTGTTCTGAAGTTAATGAGAATATTCCGCAAGAAATTTGCTAGCGATTTGGCTACCAAAGTGCCTGAGTGTGTAGGTCACTGAGGGCAGGGTGTCTTGTGATGATGCTGATAAAAGGGCATACCGAGCTATATCTAATAGGAGATTCGCCCCCTCTCTAAAGTGGGGCGATATCCCTAGGAATATCGCCCCCCGGGGGCGAATATCCTAGGAATATCGCCCCCAGGGGGGAGAAGACCCTAGGAATGTTGTCCCCCTTAGGAAATTCGCCTCCCCCTCCCCATATAAATTTTGAATTTTTGATCTAAAAACAAAACGAATGCAAGTTGAAAAGAGCATCGAAAAATGTGATTTATTTATTTATTACAATAAGGAGACAAAATTACATAGACATTTTAGGCTTCTTAGCAGCTGGTGGTGCGTGCACAGTCGGCAGAACCACTCATTTAAGGTACTTAGACTCTTATAGCAGCTGGTGGTGTGCACAGTTGGCAGAACCACTCATCTATACTTAGACTAGTGTCATATGCCTCATATTCCACACATCTAAAGTGAAACCATTGCCTACAGATTGGCTATCACAGACTTTAACATGACCGCCTGTCAATGTCAACAACAATCGAAAAGCCACTATATACAGTTATAATTTCATCCGTGAAGAATCACCAGGTTGTAACACTGAAAATGCAAAACATGCATGGTACGCTGTGAAGAGTCATAAGTCCTATTGATCTACTGTAAGCCCTTTCGATACATGTAATTGTAAATTTGTATTCTTAACAAGTTTCAATTGATACAGATTTCAAATGACTAAAGCCGTGTAATAATTATCCCATGCAACTGTTAATTAAGAAGGGCGAAAATTTTAACGGAGGACGAAAATCCTAAAGGAAAGGTGAACTTTCTAAAGGGGGGCGAATTTCCTAGGATTTCGCCGCCGGGAGGGCGATATTACTAGGAATTTCGCACCCCTGGGGGGTGGGGGACGAAATTGTAGGAGGGGGGCGAAATTCCTGGGACACCGAGGCTAAGCCTAAGGTACTAATTCCGCTCGGCTATTTATACACCCGGGAAAAGGAAAGCATTAGCGAAGTCTAAAGTTAATTCATTATTGCGGCCGTGTGTCTATTTTCAGTTGGTGGTGATGGGTGGTCAACTCATTGATCTAAACAATATGGCTGTTTGCTACGAGTAGAAGGAGCAAGGATCGATCTAAAAGCATGTGTGAAAGCTAAAGCTTGGAAAATTGTTTCACACAACAAATTAATTGTAAAACCAGATAGCAAGTATGATTGGTCGAAACTTAATTGCGTGTGCTTTTAATAATCCGGGGGGAGCAAGTTATTCAACTTGAAATTACCGAGAAAGAGGCACAATACTGGGTTCGATCGAAATATACAAATATGAAATATTTTTATAATGGTAACGAAACTGACAGTTTCATAAAATAAATTTTTCATAAAATGGAATTTTTGTGCTGTTTCGGTAATTTCATATTTAAGTTGCTCCGCCCGGATTGTTGAAAGCAAACTCCAGTTTATTTAACTTAATTTTAACTAATCAGATTCGCTATATACAATCCGTAAATGAGCATGAGCTCCGTGCATGCACTTTTGAATTTATTATGTGAATAAAATGTTAAACACGTCAGAATTTATTTATGCAGTAAATTCAAAACGCCTGTTGAACCCGTAACCCTAACCTAACCAGGACTCCAACGCGCTAACCCTAAGCTCGTTCGACCTTTTCTTTCTTCCTTTTTCGTCTATAGTTCAGTATATAGGATCATTTATACTTTCCGATTTACATATTGGAACAATAAAACCTTTAGACCACTGTGATCGAAACACATCGGTGAGATAAAATTATGTTAAACATGACGCCTGCTCAAGGCGTTCGCTCCGTCGGTAAAGGGAAAAGGCAGCAACAGAATTGCTTGGGGTGCATGATGTAGGAAGTTGATGAGACGTGGTATAGCCCCTTATTATAACCTTACCAATTTGGCAAAGAGTAACATAATACTGTACATACAAATCAGAAATGAAATAATATCTCCAGTACTTTAATTATACTTGGTTTAGTCTACAGTATATATTAATTATATGATCGTATACAGTTCTACTTCAAATGTATAAATAGTACACACTTGCACATCTGGTTAAGGCTTGGGATATTAAGTATCATTGTTAAATAATAAGGTGATATATAGTATCTGGTGTTCCATCAAATTTCCACTGTGTTTTATGTCGGTATTGTATTCTGGGTTGAAAAATTTTGCTTTCAGGATAGAGAATGTTTCAAGAGAACTATAGTAACAGTTTCCAATATTCTTCAGGGACATACCCATCAATCCATTATACATTAATAATTATAATTCATGATGAAGAGCATATATAGATACATGATAACCAAAGTAATGAGCAAAATTTCACAGATGACATAGTCATAGAGAATATGACATGGTCATAGAGAATATGTTGTGTATAGGTCCAACATTACCGAATCATCAATAGCACAGTATAAATAAAGGGCCACGTCCATATTCATGTTTCTGCACAAATAACGTATATATACCGTCGAATCGACGTTATTATGTCACCCACCCCAGATAACGTCGATATTCAGTCGTATTTTGACCGATAGACTCACAATTATTGTACTTTATTACCGCGTCATTGGCTGGGATTGTATTTTGATACAATATTTAAATAGTGATTTGGTTTTCGCTGGAGTGGCAATAAACAATACAACCAAGATATAGCCGTTCTCAAAATTAAAATGTCCATAATACATGTCATATTCTTGTTGGTAGAAGTTGGCAACCATGGTAAATTATAAAACAATCTTTTAATGGTGACCTTGTTTACATGATATGTCTACTGACTACAAGCTGACAGCGGACAGCCTACGAAATTAGAAAAGTTATGCGCCTGTGCCGTGGAGGTTCCGTTGAACTTAGCCTTCAGCCTTCTGCATATAGCGGTTTATAGCCTATATATAAGCGTAAAAAAGTTGGAAGTATAGAAGAAACAGAGTAGCATGTTAAAATCTTACCAGTTTAAAGGTTAAAGGCAGCTTTCAACAGTCTTGGACTCTTGGTGACCTAATAGCCTTAATTCAACCTGATTCGTTCTTTCGTTGTTGTTGCACCAACAAAAATACATTAATTCATAAAGAGTAAGTCCAGCGTACAACACAACATGAAAAACATAGTACAATTCGGTGGAAATTTAGCGAAATTGCAAGAAATATTATTTGCCCACTCATCACGCAACCGCCATTTTGAAACTGAACTATATAGGTCACTGACTCACTGAAGCATACTTGCAAAATTACCCATAATATCCATAAAATACATCGATGTACCTGTGAAATGTTCATTTTGTGACATCCTAAAGCCGGTTTTCCACTTCGCCCATATCGTAGCGAAACGTACTGGGGCCGGTTGTATAAAAAAGTGATTAAAGTTAATCATGGTTAAGTGCAAACGTCATCCAATAAGAAGCGCGTATTTGAGAGTTAATCACTATTTAACTACAAAATAGTGATTAAAAAAGTGATTAAGAGTTTTATACAACCGGCCCCTGGTGAGCATGCGCAGATTGAAAAGAGGTTTATAAAACACGTACTTCGATTCTGGTTGTATTCGCGTATCAAAATAAAAAGTTTGTCGCAAGTCAACTTTTTGGCGTACTACGGAAGTACTAACCAATCAACATTCACGAAATTTTGAAATTTAAAAACGTTTTTGATACGTTACGGTACGATACGCTTGAAATGGAAAACGGCCTTAAAGACAACGCCCGACGGAGCAATTAAACAATTTTACAAAGTAAGAGGGTAAAACTTCAACTGCTGTCTTAAGCCAGTTTTCCACTTTAATCGTATCGTACCGAAACGTAGCGTATTTCTTTGTTTCCTGAGCGGTACGGTAGAACTAATGACTTCGACACAAAGAAAATGCTATACGGTACGTTACGATACGATACGGTTGAAGTGGAAAGCTGGCTTTAATTATCTTGATCATTGGACAATAGTGAATCACTGGCATTGCCTTTTTTGTTTTTTAATCTCTTGTTCAATTAACCAGGAAATTTAGCCAAACATGCAGGGTTAAGTTTAATTATAAACCAAGAAGTTTTTAACCATTAAGGTGTTTCTAGAAGGTGTGAATGCTTTTCATTATAAATATACGCGACAAAGTAAAAAATTGCCTCTTAAACATTTTAAAATAGAAATATTATAGAGTATTAAAAAAATCCATTACTTTAGTTGCCTTAGAAACCTGATAACATACAATAATGACAACGTGTTTATTGTACGTTGTGAAGATTCAATGCGTGGTTCACAAGGCTTGAGTGTCGAAACGTTAGGTTATCAACGTAATTTAATTGTTCCGGCCTTCCGGGGTGTATATACTATATATAATATTCGAACATATAATATTTATCAAATAACCTCATGCATAATCTCTGATAGCAAACTTGGTTATAATTGTCGTGTACTCTTAAAGATTAAGAATTTCTTTGTCTTGTACAACAGTTAATCTTTGAAAGCGGCCGCGGAAATTTTTAGTTCATGTTTGAATGAGCTTTCACATGCTCTGTTTATTGGAAGACCTTCAACGATCGTAACTAATCACGGACATTGCATGTGATCCACTTAATTCGGTTGTGGTAATAATATCAAATATAGGATGGAGTACGTTGAAGGTCTTCCAATGAGAGCATGTGAAAGGTCAAATACTAACCAAACATTTCCGAAACTATAAACAACCAAATATTGACACGCTGTTCTAGGACACTCTATATAAGCTGTGAATCTGTAACAAATTTATTAGTTTTACATTTGCAAAGCTACTGAAAAGAGTAATCAATCAAGCAGCTGGCCTCTGAAAAGAATTGCTGAAAAAATTCAACACGACTTTCACAAGTTCACGAGGTATTGATATGCATGTGAATCTTTGAAATAATTATAAAAAAATAATTATAGAAAGCCAAGAAGACGGCTTGAAGTAAATTTTGACAAAAAGTATATGGCTAGAATATTGGCGACCGCAACAAATGGAAAACACCTATACGAATTAACTCATTACTAGTATATGCCATACGTGCATATTGTGAAAGCCAAAACATTTTATCATTTTGAATCAGTGAATGAGGAAAACGGGTCAACAATAAGGAAAATATTTCAAATGCCCAAATCCGTATTTGCATGTAAAGACTTCTAAGTTAACACTTTTATAAGATACTTCAGAGAAGATTTTACTTGAATATCAGTCAAAACTGAATTAAGACAAGATCGACATCTTTCAATTTAAAAACGCCTTAAGGCTTTCAGTGTTTATCAGATTCAGTTCCATATCCCAAGCAGTAAGCAAATATTCTATAGTAGCTGAAGGCCGAAAATCTGAGGCTCAGCTCAATATTGAAGGCTCAGTGAAATTGGTTAATTGAAACTAAGAAAGTTTTTGTTTAAAAACGGTTTACTATGTATATATATATATATATATATATATATATGTATATATATATGTGATTCACCCCTAAATCATGTGATTATTAATTATTTCTGGTTTCGTGGCCAGGTTGAATAAGGCCGAGGGCAACAACGGCGGTCGAGGGGCCACAAAACACACTGCTTTCCCGAGGTCTCTGTAAATAAGTGTTTTGTTATATAGTATCAACAAGTGTCAAAGTATGCCATAATTCACCGGTTACGTTATTGGAGTGAACTTTGAAACCAAAAGTGGGCATCGATAAATGGAACGCCGTAAATGTTTAATAAAAAGTTTAATAAAATGAACATTGGAACTTCACGGTTGACGCGCATGCGCACTGCACCCATTCTATTGTGGACCGGTCAATAAATGTTCTATTATGGACTGCAGATTTTACACTGGAAAGTGCACGATTTTCATAACTGATAACTCTGGCTTCTTGAGTAAGCCGGTTGCCTCGTTGTTGTACACGACGTTTTGTAGAACGGCACGCGATACGCTTTTGTCCAATCAGAAAAACTGAACTTTGACATTAACTATTTTTGACCCTTGGGGGGCCGAGATTTCACACGCGCCCCTGAGCAACATGCAACATTACAACGGGGCTTTACAAGTCAAGTATGTATGATTGTTCTGCCGGAGTTTCGTGGTCATATACCTTATATTCACATGCAAATGAAAATGAATTCATAAGATAATTAATTTGTTATATCGCTTGTTTTTCCGAACACGAAGTTAAGTTATTGTGTGTTTATGATAAGTTCAATCACTGCAACACGTTCCGTATATTATTTATACGCGCAATTTTGTTCCGTTTTCCTTTCATCCCTTCCTTCAACTAACGGATGGGATATTTGGCAAGGTTAATTTCTCAATCATACAGTAAATTTCTGACTTTTTTATGTACTCAAAATTAACAAAGGACTGTTTATACGAGCCTGGAACAATATGTCCAATTATGGTGGTTGCTCAGATTCGAACTTTACTTGGCACAATATCATTAAAAACTTCGTGAGAAAATATGTTAGTTGTATCAGGTTGGTGGAATGCTGTTTGCATGCGGAAGTGAGCCTATATAAGCCCTAGTAAGAGTCGATCAGGAATTGTATTACGCAAATACAAATAGTCGTTATATTATTCATCACAATTGTGAGCCATACGGTGTACTATAAAGAAGTGACATGCAAAGTTTGTACTACTGTTATTATAAGTTATAGCAGTATACAGTATATTATCAGAGTGTTTGCGAGAAGTTCACTTCGCAAATAATTTTAAAAAAAGATCCATACTTTAATTACATGAAGAGCTGTAGTGAAAGTAAGAATAAATCCGATAAGGCTGAGGCTCAATTCAGCTTAGTCTTTCCAGTTTCTATACCTTATAAATGAACTTCGCCCGTATTCTAAAAGCTCACTCACACTCACACTCAATGAGTGGAGATTCAATCTGAGCTTCTCTTGAGTGTCAATGCTGTTTTTGAATAGCTGGAGGGTTAGTGTCGTACCTTTCTATGTGACTACTCGCCCTCCAGCTATTCAAAAACAGCATTGACACTCAAGAGAAGCTCAGATTGAACCTCCACTCATTGAGTGTCAGTGAGCTTTTAGAATACGGGCGTTACATTGTTTAAATTATTAATTATACACTCCCGCCCGCTGATTTGAAAAAGGACTTGATTCTTCCCCTCTGTTTCTGACGTTTCCTAGCTGATGATTCGCTCGGTTAACTTGAAAAGACAATTGACCGGCAAGGTGGCGAATTTTCTCTGCACCTATGCACCTGCAATATATCCAATTATGGTGATTGTTGTTCGAAGTATACTTAGCACAATATCATTATGAGAAGATATGCATGTTAGTTCTATCAGGTTGTATCACTAGATCAGTGGGTTGTATGCGGAATGCTGTTTGCGGAAGTAAGCCTATAGCCCTAATAAGAATCGGGATTTGTCTAAGGCAAATCACAAGACGAAAATTCTTTTTTGGGGCTAGCCCTTCATGTCCGGTAAATAAATGTATATACGAACTTGAACTAGAAGCGTTGTTAACATTTCGTGCTGTCAAACAGTAAAAAGCAGCCCCGCGGGTGGCCTTGCCAGGCGCTATAAATAATTTACAAGTTGCGGTCTAATATATACTGATTAACTTATAGAAACACGGTTTCTCATTTTAACAGAGCAAGTTTATACTATACAACAAAAATGGAAGGAAACAGCAGTAAATCCACTGAAAAGGGAACGAATGGCACTGCTGAAAAACGAAGTTCTGTCAGCTCATCTCGCAAGCAGTCCTCTGTATTCATGAAATATGTTCGACCTTGTTTTGCTGAATTTCTTGTAGTCTTAATTTTCGTGTTCGTCGGTGTCTGCAGTGTAGCCAATGCATCATCGTTTATACCGTTAGTTCATGGCCTTGCAATTATAGTCTTGGCATTTCTCGCTGGTGGAATAAGGTATGCACAGTTTAGAATTATTTTCAAGTGTATTAATAAAGTAGGTTTTATTAGAAGGGAAGATTATTCAGAAGAACAGTAATGAGAGCCCAAAACGTTCATGGCAAGTATAAACTATTGAAAATGAGTGAAACTGTTCTGAAGTTTGTTCACCAAGTCCCATTAATTAATTGGGTTCATAGTAAAAAAGCAGTCAATTTTTCGGGAGAAAATGCAATACCGTTAGTTTGTCAAGGTAAATTTGTCACAGAGAGTTGTCATGGGAAATTAGTGTGTTTATTTTTAAAGGAAACAACTTTGTAGGGAAAATAAGTAGCTCTTCTCTGGTGATTTTGAAAACAAAGCACAAAGAATTTCTTTTGATTTTTTTTTTATCTTTCTGTGCATGCTTCTAACTTGAAGTTCTTTAAATGTAAAATTCTGATAACTAATATTCATTTTACTTAGTGTGATAATGCCAATATCATTATTCGGCATGCGTCATTATATAACAACATGTCGAAAGAGCATTATTATTATTATTGTTGGCATTTTTTGCACAAATTACAGCCAGCTATACTCCGCCATGGTCAAGCAACCACGGATTCACACATGCATATAACCCAAGTGCAACTTTTATGCATTTTCAGTTAAACCACTCTACGAGGACAACAGGCAGGATTTATATATAGTATGCAGTTCACGCTATATAGCAATATAATTATAATATTTGCATATATATCACATGCACTCTTGAGATGTATGTATATTAATCACATACTAATCATAGTAGCTAGCTAAAAATTAGAAAAAAATTCTACAAGTACAACCGTAGAAGTACAAATATCAATCGAATGACGTTATATTCGTTTACTCGTGGGAAAATGAAATTTCGTTGCATATATACAATGCAGTAGGCCTATATAGCCATGCTTATTTTTCACCCTGCTCGGTTTCCTTCGTTCTTATCGGGGAATATATTCAATATTCCCCTCTAATCAATTTCCGTTTAATAATATCCCCTCTAATATTCACCTGCAATTAATAATCCCCTCTAATATTCACCTGCAATGTCTTTGCAACACAAAAAATGAGAAAAAAACAACATAACGAAGGCAATATGGCATGAAGAATTATTTCTATTCTGACTCATTAACGCGACCTCGCAGTGTGAAAAATAAGTACGTTATTTTGAGGCACCTCGGGGATATGTGATTTATTCACCTCGGCGCTGCGCGCCTCGGTGAATAAATCACATATCCCCTCGTTGCCTCAAAATAACCTATACATATAAGTATAAAATTTATAATAACAACGTCAATTAATTTAACCCGCTATACGCACCCTGATTCTCGCGCGTGCGTCACGCAACCGCTTAGCACATCAAAGCGCCTAGCTATCTCATTGCTTATTTCAGCGGTGGTCATATCAACCCAGCTGTCACATTAGGAGTATTACTTGCTGGAGCCATCAGTCCATTATTGGCTTTAGGTTACGTCCTATCACAATTGCTAGGAGCTATCGTTGGCGCAGGTTTCGCACGGGTAGGTTTGATTTTTATGATAATATTATATCGGATAATTTGCTTCCATGCACATATACATATGCTTTTTACCCGACAAGCTTGAAATTAAAGGCTATTAATTCTGTTTATCGAAAACAGGATTCTATCAGTGTCATCAAATCTAACCTGCCATATCGATTATATTGAATTCAAATTGAATCTGTGGAGTTTCGGGGAACCTTCTGCTAAAACCAGACATAGTACTATAGGGCGGTGGTTTGGGACATGCATGCACAAAACAAGTGCACCGAAAACGCAAAATATACAATGTTTGACTAAGTACCACAAAAATTGAATTTGCAAGTCTCCAGCTGAAACGGTATTTCGTTTATTGTGGAGGCACTTGGAGAGAAATGTATATCTTAAATTGATTTCCAAATACTTGACAATTTTAATTCAGTAGGAGACATAACCATACAAGAGCTTTATAAGTAAATGCGCGCAAGATCACAATTTTCCACCCTCTTCCTCAACTTTCCACCGAATTTTAACCACACCTATTTTAAAGAATTTTTTATCAATCCACATTTTTGTGCAAAGTTTACCCGAGCAGAAGCACGCCCTGAACACATGCACCCTTATAACCTTGTAATAGTGTGTAACTACAAAACTGGCTACAATTCATAGTTCAAAAATGCCAGACACTCATGGTCGCCCAGGGAAATTTGGGGGCCAAAAATATCATTCATGCATTCACTCCATCCCCCAAGCTCAAAAAGTGATATATTTGATGAGAGACCATAGAAATAACTGTAGATATCGATTATGTGAGAGACTTTGCTCATCTGATGCACCTCAAGTATAATATTAGTGCGGACGTTCCATAATTTGGCAGTTATCATTTCAATTTCGTTCAACTTTAATAATCTCATTCAAAATGTTTTGATTAATGCTGTCAAGTGTCAAGACGAATTTCAGTTTTTCTGCTCTTTGCCCGCACTAAAATTAGGTATGATTTGAACGAATGTAAAACTATATTCTGGAAAGCATTTTGGGAAGAGGCCTCTCCCTCCTCCAACCCCCCTAATTTTGCTTGGGCACCACAATGTGCATGGATGCGATGTACCTGAAATCAAAGGTAACCGACCACGCTTGTGCTATTCAGCAAATTTTCTAACAGTAAAGCAAGCTCAAAAAGGCGATGAAAAAAGGAACACATAATAGTTTGAGGATGTATATTTTGAGAAATGTAAGGAACACATAATAGTTTAAGGAAATTAAAAGTAGGTTAATTTAAAACAGTCAGATGATGTTAAAACTAGGGAGAGATTAGAGTTAGGGTCAGCGTCAGGGTTATGACTAACTTTTATGATCAAACATACCTTATAATTTGTTCAAACTATTTTGTGGGTATTACATGAAGTACTTACCGAAAATTGAAAGCTTTGCCTTTTACACGGAGGGTTGTGGAAATAATATGGAAATCCAATTTTCATAGTAATTGCAATTTCCATACTACAGGGTGTACAGGGTGTCTCAAAAAACCCCAAAATCATTGAAATTGACGTATTGTTCGATATTCAATGCCCTAGCACTAAGTTAATCCCACGAGTGCATAAAAGATTGACATAACTGCTATAATGAATGGTAATACTCAGCGTAAACTTGTCATGTCAGGCATAAAGTACTAAACCCACGAATGCATATTACGCATATTACAATTTACGAAGCATTTTTAAATTCCCATGAGCAAACAAACGTTCACTTTACAAAGATATTTAATCACCCTGTCAAAATCCTTTGTGTTACGGCATTGAAATTCGAACAATACGTTATTTCAATGATTTTGGTTTTTTTTGAGACACCCCAAAAACCAAAATCATTGAAATAACGTATTGTTCGAATTTCAATGCCGTAACACAAAGGATTTTGACAGGGTGATTAATTTGTTTTAAAAAATTAAAATATCTTTGTAAAGTGAACGTTTGTTTGCTCATGGGAATTTAAAAATGCTTCGTAAATTGTAATATGCGTAATATGCATTCGTGGGTTTAGTACTTTATGCCTGACATAACAAGGTTACGCTGAGTATTACCATTCATTATAGCAGTTATGTCAATCTTTTATGCACTCGTGGGATTAACTTAGTGCTAGGGCATTGAATATCGAACAATACGTCAATTTCAATGATTTTGGGTTTTTTTGAGACACCCTGTATAAAAAAAACCGCAACCTCGGAATTTCCCAAGAAATCGACATTGTTTTAAGGACAAAAGATTTTAGGCGCCTGGGAATTTAAAATAGCACAACTGTCAAAATTACTGCACACGCGAGTGCATAAAGCAAAATTTATGCATTTATTTAATGCACAACAACAGTCATATGATCTATTAGCAATTCGATTTCAGTTCCCAGGGGCCTAAAATCTTTTATGCTTAAGAATTGCAAAGTGATTTCTTAGGAAATTCCGAGGTTGCGTTTTTTTTATACACCCTGTATATGGATAGGATATGGAAATAGTATGGATATAATATGGATTGCACTGTTTTCTTCCAGTGTAACTGTCCTCCACCACTCAACACAGTCAGGTTACTTATCCCTTTATATATAGGTTGTACTCGCCAAAGTGGTTTACGAGAACATTAATGGCGGCGCACATAGTCTGGGAACGGACGTGACAATTGGAAGTGCAATACTGGCAGAAATATTAGCCACATCATTACTCGTCCTTACTGTCCTAATGACGGCTGTTGACAGCAAAAATAAAGTACCCATTGCCCCGTTACCAATTGGTTTTTCAGTAGCTGTTGGTATTTATGGAATGTAAGTTCGTATAACGTTTTGGCAGTTCATAGCTTTCATGGCAACATACAAAATCTTTTTCGCGCATCAAATGTCTGTTGGTCACATATCCAAAAAATATAAAGTTTTGCCGGTCTAAAATATTTAATATAATTAACCCATTCTTCCGGTTGTAGTTTTAATCATTGTTGCTCGTTACGCGCTGCGGTGCTAGACTGCTAGTGGAATAATTCTTATAGTGTTTTGAATACGGGCGGCACTCAAAAGTAGCCGGTCACTGAAAAGTATGAGAATGAATTTTCGCCACGGAAATGCCCATTTCCAAAGTTAAATGTGAGGCCAAATGACAGAACATGCATTGGAATATACTCATTTTCGATTCAAAAACACTGTAATAATTGTGCGAGCCTGATAAAAGATGTTTTGTTCTTGTTTTCAAGTTTAGCTTCTCGAACAAGTCTGTTTAATGATGTTCCGGCCAGTCAAGCGCATTGTTGTTCTAAATAAGTGCAGCGCGTATTCGATGGCGTCGTCTTTTGATTATTCGGCGTTTATCGGGAGTAGCACTTTTGCGAGTAAATATACGGTAGTTCATAAAACTATACGTTCAGGGACGTAGCGAAGCAGTGAAGTTGGGGGAGGGGTTTGGAGGATTCTACCTGAAATTTGAACTTCAATGTTAAAAATTTACCTGAGGTGTAACAATTATGATAGAGCTTTTTCTGATTGATAAGTTTGCGAAGAATATTTTCACATTTTCTTATAGTTTTTACCTGAGTCCCCCCCCCGGTCGCTACGTCCCTGGCTACGTTTCTTTGAAAAAATATGTTTTGTGTGGTAGTGTAAACTTTGTTCGAAGCCACATGTCAATTGTAATTCAAAAGTTCTGATACAACTGTGTTGTGATAAAAGAAACGTTGACTGTGCGGTAGTGTAAGATTTTACTAAGAAGTGGTAGTGTAAGATTTTACTAAATGTATTGTAATATTTAAATTATGAACATGGTCACACAATAAACGGCATCAATTTAACCTTAACATAGCAACTCTTTTCATTTTTTCTTTCAGTGGTTCAGTAACTGGAGGCTCATTAAACCCAGCAAGGAGCTTCGGTCCTGCAGTAATGGGTTCGTACTGGTCAGATCATTATGTGTACTGGGTTGGTCCAATTCTTGGCGCCATTTTGGCGTCGGCAATATATCGAATCGTGCTTGCTTCACCCGACCGATTGCTGTTCTGTAAGGGATCAAACGTACAACCATCTCATACTGATGTGGAACTAGGCAGTACCGCGAGATTGCCTTGAAAATTTGCGGGGTTCCAGTAAAGTATAGGCATGGCGAGATATAGCTATAGGCAATGGTTTGTAAATCAATACACAAAACATCACATGCACTATACACATGCACGTACTATTCAATATATTTCTTCATGGTTTGTTCTACTTTCCTGCATGATCATTTGTGAAGATCCAAGAAATCCATTAATTAATAAAGTAATAAACTAAATAATAATTATCTACCAAAAAGTTGCACAACGCAAAATCCAAAGCGGTCTGTAGAGGTCGATCATACTGTATTATTATTACCTATATCTCTAAATTACATGCATGCAGATCAACATAGTCGCTGAAGTAGAGCTCCGATTAACTCCTAACTAAGAACAAATGTATATATGACGGAAGGAAACATTTCTTAAAAAACATTGTGCGTTTGAAACAATACCTGACGATAGGTATAGATTGCCTATATATATAAAATCAAGGCTAAGTATGTAGAATATTATAAATAAACCCATGCAAATAAACCTTTAATATTTCAGTGCATATTGTTATAGTTTGTGTCCTGGCCAACAGGCCAGGTTTACAACAAATTGTTCCAACAACACGGCACAAGTCGGCACGTAATAATGATAATAAATTGTTAACTTAACAAGGTGCAGATAACCGGCTCACAAGGCTAATGACAACAGGGTGGACTTCAATGATTTGGATTCTTGCACTTCACTTGGTGGAATTAATATTAGAATGTTAGGGTTTGTAATCCAAGTGAAAATATATACATTTTAATTCTTATACATGAACTTACGGTTACAGCTCAACAACTGGCCTCTGTAGCTCAGTTGGTGAGAGCGCTGCATCGGAATAGCAGGGCCGTAGGTTCAATTCCTACCAGAGGACCTTGTGCTGCATTTTTCGCAGTCGTTCCTAGTTAGGTCTTAAAATGTATATATTCTCACTTGGATTACAAACCCTAACATTCTAATAATGACAACAAGCTATAAGCTCGTAGGCGTAGCAACTTGTTATACGAACAGTCTGTATTATATAGTCTTGTTGGAACAACTTGCAGCAAGTCTGTAACCGTCAACAACCTGGTTTATGGTGTTATACCATTCGTTTCCTTTAATAAAATACTATTATCATAACCCCTATTAAGCGGACACCCCTCTTTAACGGACGCGGACACCGTAATTGAGGTCCCAATGGGCAAACCAACCTCTCTTAAGCGGACCAGATGACAGATGACAGATTGTCTGATAAAATGTATATTCAATATTCGACAGTAAATAACAATTGAGATCAATTTACATGGCACATTGACTATGACACACTAACTTGGCGCGAAGACATCAGAGCCAAAATTACCGAGGAAGTGACGAACGACGACAGAGGACTGTGAACCGTCAGCCGAGGAGCCGAAAGATATGTGTCAAATCACTGATGATGACAACGAACTGAACGAAGATGATGAATTGGACTGATCTCTTAACGAACCAGTCATTAAATCGTCCTCCAAAGCCCTTAAAGTTGTCGAGCGGCTGGCAGAATTCGCACAATTTCGAGGTTTGGAAGAACTTTCCAACGCCATTTTTATGTAAATGACATTATAATGGCTATCGCTGCGTGAGCCTCGAAAGCAAACTTGTATCGATTCCTTTTTTATATGACTGCGAGAGACGTATACATTTTCTAATGAACTTTAATTATGTACAAAGAAATTTTCATTTTATGCTAATTATTTGCTAGATATGTTTTACTGTTTTGACACTCAAATTATACACCTGCTGTAATTACGCACCTTTGGCTCCTGCTGTGTTTTTCTACATACCCCTTTTAAGACTTTTAAGCGGACACCCCTTTTAAGCGGACACTTAGGCAAGGTCCCGAAGGTGTCCGCTTAATAGGGGTTTGACTGTATACAGGAGGAAACGTCGGAATTACGGGGGGGGGGGTAAAAACACCATGTCTTAACATTAGTATCACGCCTACTCCCTATAGTGGATTTTGTAGCGGAATAAGGCAGGTATAAGGAAAATCAACGACGTAAAATTTAGAGTGGCAGCAATATTGGCGCGCGATAATTTCGATAAGCAATGGCCTTTGGCATTGCTGGTAGTTCAGGCGTATACCTATATATACGACTACACTAATATTACAGTTAATTGTTCAACACTAAAAATGAAAATACATATACCTTGTCTGGCTGTTCTGAACGTGATATTTCTACAGCAGCTTTGCCGTTAGCCGAGCGTTGATGCCTAGCGTGTGTTTTATAGTTTTTATTTCGCAGAATGAAATGTGATACGTGGGAACGCTTAGGTCAAGGACTTTCCGACAGTTCGCCCAGCAAGGCAACAAAACGTGCATAAAAAGTGAAATATGCCATATACTAAGGTGATTCCATGCTAAAGTTTATTTTTAAATATCAAGATTCTTGGGCATCTCACTCGATTGAACTAATGTTGAAGGATTTTGTAGATGGAAATTTCGAGTGCACATTTTATACATTTATATTTAGACCTAAACAGCCGCAGATACAAAAAATGCAAATATTAGGCCCTTTGGCAGGAATCCAACCTGCGGCCCTTTGAAACTTCACACTGGCGATTCCCATCTTCAAAATCCTTCAACATTAGTATACAGTGCTTAATGAAACCATGTCCACCTCGTGCCCAAACTTTGGGCGTCAATCTAAGTCACATGGGAAAAGCGTGCCGCACAAGTATATGCATGAGCACTTTCCGCTCAAAAATGGTTATTTTTCCCGCGCGCGTAGTGCAAATAGGCCCTAGGCCTATATACAAAATTTGCGAACTTCACAGAGTATATCTTTTCCTCATTTTACAACATTTCGCAACCAAACTTTGCAATTTGACTCATTTCAAGATGCTCTTTCTAGGTGTGGTGTTGGATTTCATTCTTCTTATCTAGATCAAAATTTCGTCCATAGTGGAATCACTTATAGAAGGATTCAAGTTTTCCATGCGTGTACGTGGACATATGAATAATGACTGCAAAACATAGAAACCTATGTTTACAAGTTGAGATTGCCAGTAATTCATTACTGATTTTGTGCTGACATATATTTGATATTCTTATTCCTGGTATTGTGAAAGAATTTATTATATAAGAAAAAATTTAAACACAAATGATAAACCCGCTCTGACGGTTCGGTATCTTGTGATATGCTGGCGTGTTATGTTGTAGAATTCACTGCAGAGTGACATAAGTGTTTATTGTTTATTGTTTATTGTTTATTGTTTATTAAAATTATTTAAATTTAACACGGTTAGCCATTCATCATTCGCTGCTTTTCAATGGGCCGTGTACACAATAAAAATTTACAAAAATAATTATGAAGCCTAACGCCGTGCGAGGGTACTAATTCCGCCTGGCTATTTACACCCGGAAAACAAAAACATTAGCGAAGTCTGAAGTTCATCAATGATCGCGGGCGTGGGTGACCAACGATGGGTGGTCATCCTCACTGATCTGAAAAATATGGCGGACTGTCATGAATAGCGAACACTGATTGGTCCAGTTTAAAATTGTTATTACAGTCTAAGTACACGTACACGGGGTACTCGTCAATCACTGTAGTTGTTTCCATAGTGATTGATGAGCAATAATTAAGGCCGTTACGTTCCACGATTTTGAAATATAACGTCATTAGAAAATGTGGCAAGTGATTAAACTAAAAAGTGCTTTATACCGCATAAACAGCGAGTGTTAATCAGACACGCAAAAGATTCAAACGTAAACTCCTAGTACAAGCAACTAATACAGTATGTCAGTGAGTGTCTTGTTTCTCGAGCTTCCTCAGTAAATTTTGATTCGCAAAAGTATCAAGTATATAAACTGAATCCTTGCCTTATCTTCCTCAGTTCAACAGATACTCAAAAATTTCGTAGTTATTGAATGCACGCACAGGTACGTTTATCCCCCCATCCGTGTTTTAACCCCTTATCCGTGTTTTATCTCCCCCATCCGTGTTTTATCCCACTATATCCGTGTTTTATCCCACTATCCTTGTTTTTTCCCACCGGTACCATCCGTGTTTTATCAATGCCCATCAGCCTTCGTAGGGTCCCAACCCACACAGAGCCTGGGCCACCTGTGGCTATCCGCGCCCCAATTACGTAATATTTCCGCAAAGCTGCGTGTTTACATATTTGCTACATTATCATTTCATTGATTTGTCATTGATCGACCGAAGATGACCTTTAAAGATGGAAGTAATGTCAGAAAATGTAAGCTAATGTTAGTCTTAGATTGTTCGTGTATATAGAACGTTTTGTGAGATATATTGTATCACATTTAGCATTTAATATTAATATAAACGTTGAACATATAATACATTTATACCTTCTACCGTGAAATTGATATTGCACGCCATATTTCTTCCCCTATACGGCTATACCTTATAGATAGATGACATACCACAGCTTATTTCGTAAGCGTAGAGGAGGTTCACACAAAACATAAATGGAAGTTAAAATATAGATTATAAAATATATACAAAGACACAGCAAGATCCTAAGCCTCTTTTGTGTTTACCTCTTGGGTTAATAATTAACTAATTAAGTTTCTATTTGTCTCGCTTTGTTTGAGTTTTTTATGATTATGATATGCCTATTTTAATGAAAACTGTAAGGTGTTTCAATTGTAAGGTAAGTCTATATGTAAATTTGTATTTGGTTGGGTTTGCAAATTATATGCAAACTGAAGAACCTTAAATTGGTGTCGGTTTCAGTATTTTCAAAAGCACAACAAACCATTTGCTCAATAAATTGTAAATAATATAAAATCAAAATAAATAATGTATTAATACCGTCGCTTGCAACTAAGGATGAACTGTCGCTGATAAAAACATTGCCTGTTCGTGCGAGAATCTTCAATGTTTGACATGAGCACTTGACAGGTTTCAATCTGATCAGCCAATCATGTTCAACCAGCTCCAAGCTGATTGGCTGAATGAATTGAAACCATCAGATGTCATCGCAAACATTCAACTTTCTCAGTATAAAAACATTGAACTTTGTCATGCGAATAGACAATGTTTTTATCTGTGACCATTCATCCTTTATAAGTTGCAAGCGACGGTAGCAAGTTAAATGAAACAACAACGTCTCCATTGATTATGGGATAGAATATAGAGAAGTAGATAATATTCTGAAATAACAATATCAAAAAGGAAATGTCTTTGTTTGCACTCACCATGAAAATAAAGAAGTCTTTCTTCGGCAGACATTGTTATTTTCAGATAGGGAGGAGTGATATAATATGGGAAACCAAAACTACTGGCTCTTTTGCACATGGGTTATAGACACATGGGCAAATAGTCTAATTAACCATCACTCTCCCCTTGATGAGTAAAATAATCTGGCATTAGACAGAGTAAAATCATGAAGTAGGGAATATCAGGGTGGAATGCAACTTGAATGGGTTAACTAAACAGATTGGCTAATTAACCATTGAATAAAATGTGTTTTTCTAGACACATTCTTTCGGCTAATTGACCATTGACTGACAGTGCTTTCTCCTTGACGAGGAAATTCATCTGGTGTTAGAGTAAAATAATGAAGTAGGGCATATCCAATTTCCATCGAAGAGATCTTTGGTCTTTGTTTTCATAGATCTTCATTTTTGTGGATCTTCATTTTCATAGGTCTTCATTTTCGAAACGCCTACAGTCAGGGGCGTCGTGGCGGCTTTAGAAGTGGGGGGGGGGGACACATTTAGCGGACCCCGAAGGTGGGTGACATTCTAGGGGGATTTCCTGCACTTTAGAAGAAGATTTACAGAGTTCTAAATTAGGTAACAAAATGTCATAAAATATCTCAAATTATTTTGTCTACACTCATAATTGAAATAATATCAATTAACTTTGTGGTTTATTATTTGATCATTGTTAAAAAGTGGGAGGCCATGCAAAAGACATTTAGACCCCAAAAGACATAATTTAGACCCCAAAGACATTTAGGCCCCCCAACCAGAAAAGTGTGGCCGTGTGGGGGATCGCCACACCCCCCGCCCCCCGTTTCCGATGGCCCTGCCTACAGTATGTTTTCCAGGACCAGCTTGTAAAATGTGCGATAGTTGCAGTAGGGTACCCTGATGACCAAATACCCATTTTGAAGTGGAAACACTGAAACAGTACTTTTTCAAATTACATTCTAGTTGTCAAAGCTTTGTGCTGAATTGTTAATAGCTATAGAAACATTGATCTTTGCACAAAGCCTCGTTCCGAGGCTAGTGCCTGTGGGCATTCAACCATAATTCAAAAAGGCTTAATATTATTAGGAATCAACCAGTTGCAATGCCCAACCAACAGGATCAAAGTGAATATTTTTAATGTTCCATGTCAAAGAAGCTCTGCTTATATGTAATACATAACGTGTTAGAACGAAAGGTTTTTTTAAGCAGGACGAAATTTTTCATATCACATTTACAGAAATTGATTAAACATAAATTAATTTATTCATTCATGAATCAAATATTAATGAATCTCCCATTAAAGGACACAATGACTGATTAGTTTCAGTCAGACTATGACCATTCATTGACCGGAGAGGTTTGCCTTAATTTTTCAGCTACAATCTTTGCAGGTAACAAATTTAACCTTGAAGGAACAGTTTCATGTGGGGATTGTCACTGGTCAACTAGATATTGTTGAAGACATTCTAGATACAAGCCCGTCACTGGTTCATTATATCGATGAAGTAAGCCATTATTTTTTAGTCATTACTCATAGTTAGTTTTGTGTGAAGCTAAAACCTAACCATGTATAATTGTGTGACTTACATGTCTGCCTTTATTTAGCTGTTGTGTTAAATTTGAAGTTTATTTTAAATGCATCCTTGCAGAAAGTATGTCACCTTGCCAATAGAGTCTCGTTCTCATAATTTTGACGTTCGACTTTAACTAATGTCATATACACGAAATTGAGGCTGTATTTCCAAAGCGATGTACTTTCCAGAAGGGTGTATTGTCACCTGCAATGATTACATTATCATTTCAGGCATTTTGTGTTACATATCACAATTGTTCTCCGCCGTTGGGAGCAAAAGAATGGTCATATGGTTGGGTCCAAACAAATAATTAAGTTAATTATGACCATATAAAAGTATCTTTCAAAATGTATTTATTTAATGTTTTTAGAATGGTACAACACCTTTAATTTTGTGTGCTGCTAATGGTCATGTTGATGTATTAAAATATTTAATTAAACGTGGTGCCAACGTTGAACAACGAAGAAAGGTGATCAGATTTTGTAGTGGCATTATAATTTAAATTATCGTCGTTTATAGTTGAGAACACAACAGTCGCCATGGACTTTCGAGCTTACAGTATATATATGTAGACCTTTTTCAAAATGACGTCAGGCGCGGATAAACAGTAAAGAGGAGGTCCATAGGACAGTTTTAAGGCCATGTTACACGGTGCAATTTTTCTTGCAACTTGCAATGCAATTCTACTCTTGAGAGATGTTAATTAGTGAAATCAGTGAAGAATTTTCGATATGTTGAGAAAACATCAGCGGAGTGTAATGAAGACTCGTATTTGGCAATTTCACATCTCTCAAGAGTAGAATTGCATTGCAAGTTGCAAGAAAAATTGCACCGTGTAACATGGCCTTTAGCGACGTTCGCAATGCAAATGATGTTATACATAAAATTTGATTGGCTCGGCAACAATTTAATATAAACATACAGTATTTTATGACAAAAAAGGAAAAGATATTTACAACAAAATTGCAAGTTTGAGTCAAAAGCATTTTACTTATCCAGGACCGACTCTCACTTGCGAACACACGTGCACACAGAAATAAAAATAAGACTAAAAAACATTTCACATTTGGTCAAACATTTGGTATGGAGAAACGATTCGTATCGATTATACTTTTGAACAGCGGCGTATGTATATGCTTATATGAAGGTAAAAGATATATAAAAAATAACGGTAATTAATGACAGATAATTTTAGAGTCACGAGCTTTTGCCATTCCAGTTCTTCCAGAAGTCGCTCATAACTATATAGTGCCCTTGATTTCTCCGCGTACAACGCGAGAGGCGTCATATTCACTTGCAGGTCCGCACAGTCTGCCCAAATCAGTAAAATCTGCCTATTCTAACAATTGCCTTAAGAGACGTTTATTGAGTGTATCCAAAGTTTGACTTTCCAGTCGAAATTTTAAGGACTTTAAAATATTTAAGCATGTACATACTAGACGCCTTTGGCTTTGTATATGAACTTGCAATATAGCTATATGTTTTTCCAAGATAAATTACTTTGTAATGTTAAAGCTAAATGTGTGTGTGACGATACTTCTAAAATGGTACTATCATCCAAATACTGTTCAGGATAGAAAAATTTATTCTTTTTAGCTGAAAAGACAATAGCTTCGCATTTTCAAAGGGTTAATCACTATTCTTGACACGCGATGGCTTCTCCAGTGTCCACTCGACCCAGTCTTTCGCGCGAGTTATGTATTGTCGAAATCGAGATCTTGTGTCTGTCTGTTTGTATGTAAAGATGTCGTAATCCGCGGGGAATAATTAAGCTTCAGGAACGTTTGTTAAAACAAGATTTTGTATTGCGCACGCATCTCCATGTGTTTCAAGAATCAAAAGATTTTACAAGCTTTTCGTATGGATGCAGAGATCGAAAATATTCGGAAAAATTCAGGTGAGTATGGCTCTATTTCTTTCTTCTAAAATATATCAAGGCGATAACCTTTTTATAGTGTTCAATCTAGAGGCAAACAATGTGCTTTATGTAATATGAGTTTATCGGCACTTTTAATGTCTTAATATTACGAGGAGACAAAATGTACTTACAAGCTCTGAATGATGGTTTTGTTGTCTTAGAACCTGGTGTCGAATTCTTATATGTAGGTAAAACTTTACCTAAAGTTATCAGTGTTTCAAGTATCCTGCTCATGGTAGTGGTTTCTGAGCTGAGGAGAAACCACTGCGAGCAAACGAACGATCGTTTCATGTAGCCGCCGTCCAGATTCACGGACGAATACATTAAATTCTCAACCGGTAAAACAAGTTTGACAAGTTTTTGTTGTTGTGCACATGGGTAAATGCTTGCCACTGCTGGTAAAATGCGAGTCAGTTGTACACTTGAAAAACAACATCACGCTCTAAATATAGTAACACGCTATAAATATACTGCAAAATATTATAACGGCTTTACAAAAGTCAAAATATTGAATAAAATGTGAGAAATTATACATTAAGATGACTTGAAAACCGCCTAGCGTTCAACACAATAACTATACACTGCAACAAAAATCAACCTTTTACAGAAATAGTAGCGCCGTCGCGACGATCTTTGATCGGTTGAAATTTGTAGCGATTGAGGTCGCGACGATCAAAAATTGCAATAATTGTCAAAATCAACAGTAACTGGAAACGTTATTATATTATTTGGAAACTTTGGGAATTGGAATTTAACGAAAACCTTAACACAATCTCCAACGTTTAAGTAACACAAATAAAGTTCGAAGACCGACTTTAAAAAATTGATATTGATCGGATAAATACAAAATTTTAAAAAGATACGGTATAACAGAAATTCAAATGCACAATTTGTAGCCGTAGGTTGAGGCACCGGTTTCAAAATATTTTAGTACTGGCAATAACGAGATTAAAACCGATACATAAATTGTGAACTCCGTGTAGAATTAAAAAGTCGTTCGATTAAAACTGACAGACAACAAATAAAACATTACTATGCCACGCTTGTTTACAGATAACAAACTACATGCAGGAAATGAAGTCAAATTAGTGACTTCCCATCACGTGATCTTCGCGCATGCTCGATAGAAGGTCGTTCGTTTGCTCGCAGTGGTTTCTCCTCAGCTCGGAAACCACTACCAGCAGGGTATGTTTCAAGTTGTACGAACATGTTTTCTTAATACGAGATATGTGATTCTGTGATGGGCACACGTATAAATGTGCCGGCTGCATGTAGTCAGTGTAGTGCATGCAAAAACAACTACAACACCTGTGGATCCCTTTGATGCACAAAAGAACATTGGTAGGGCATTAAACAGTAACAGTGTAGCTATGATGGTATGACAGAACAATAACAGTCTACCCTTTGTGGTAGGACAAAATAATAACAGTTTACCCATTGTGGTCACTGGAGCCCATTGCATTGTGGAGCTAAAGCCCACTGAAGTACAAAATAACATTGATCTGCCCATTGTGGTCGAGCCCATTGAGGCACAAAATAACACTGATTCTGACCATTGTGGTCGAGCCCATTGAGGCACAAAATAACATTGTCATTGATCTGCCCATTGCGGTAGAGCCCATTAAGGCATAAAATAACATTCGACTACCCATTGTGGTAGAGCCCATTGAGGCACAAAATAACGTTGAACTACGTAGTAACGTAGCCATTGTGGTAGAACCTGTTGAGGCAAAAAGTATCATTGATCTGCCCACTATGGCAAAAAGTAACACTGATCTATCCATTGGGGTAGAGCACAATAAGCAATTCCAGCCTTTAATTTATGTGTGTAGGGGGTGACGGTAAGGTATATTGCTGATTATGCTGAAAAATTTCAATAAAAACTGCAGAATCAACCGAAATATTTCAATATTTACAAGTATAAGCTATCACGCCGTGTTTACACGGGCACCATTTTTATTTTTTCACCATAATCAGCAATATGATACCTTACTTCCCATCCTGCCCTGCACGCATAAACTAAAAGCTGGAATTGTCTATTCTGTGGTGCCTAATGTCTCATGCTACCAATTGTTTTTTCTATAGTTTTGCAATTCTGAAGGATGTGAATGGTGCCATGTTAATTGCTGGGTGAAACCAAATAGTTGTTACAGTCAAAATATTATATGGATATATTACATAACATGTAATAGGATGGGAGCTTCTGGATTAACAGAGATGTATTCTTATTAAAACAAGAATGCTGATTTACAAGATTGTATGGATATATTACATCTTGTATGGAATCTGTCATGTATTATTAAATTACCATACTTGTTTCCAATCTACCATGCATGTGAATGTCGGGAACATTGTATGTCATGATATTACAAACATGTATATGTATACAACGACCTAACAAGTTATTGGACAATAATGATGGCCAACAATGGACACTAAATGAAATGCTAAATGAATATGATATCTATAAATATTGGACAAAAACAATGGTAACACTTGTTTACCAAATGAAAACAAACAAAAGACTATCATTACTTGCAACAAAGTAACAAACTTGATCGTACCACGTTAAAAGACATATATTTGTTCTTCCTAATTATTTTCTTCAAGACATTTTCACAAGTGAAGACTAAGTAATGTCTGTAATGATTTCCATTGACATTTAATGTCAGTAATATTGGCAGTTGGCACCAAAAATAATATGACATTGTAAAAATATAAGATTCCAAAGTACACATTACAGTATCTAGTAATTATTGCATGTTGTAATTTCGATACTTTTTTAACAAAATAGTTTGATAAAGTAAGTAACTTCTAGTACTGTAGTTACTAACCATTTTTGTGGCCAATTTGACATTTTTTCTAGATCGCTATTCAAAGTAAATTCCGATTCTACTGGAGAATCAACGATCTCTAACTATGCAGTGTCGTCTGCAAGTAACAACGCGGGATTGATTCAAGACTCTCTGACTCTGTAATATCATTAATATAGGCTAGAAACAATAACGGTCCCAAAACCGATCCCTGCGGGACACCACCAGAATTAATTGATTTCCATTCCGAACTTTGTCCTTCAATGACCACTTTTTGTTTTCGGTCACATAAAGAATTTTTTATCCAACTTAATAAGGGGTCTTGAACACCTAACTTTTGTAATTTAAAAAGAAAACCAGTATACCAAACACGATTGAAAGCCTTGCTTACGTCCAAAAACACCACCTTCACTTCTTTACCATCCAAGGCTTGCTAGATTTAATTAACGATGCAAATACGTTAATTGGTTAATAGTGGAATGGCCTGGTCGCAAACCACAGATTGTAGAGAACAGAATAATCCAATATCGGCCAAAAAACTATAAACGAGTAAACATGCCTACTCTTTCGGCAATTTTTGAAAGTGAGGGTATAGTAGCGAGATTGGACGATAATTGACCTTAAATTGACGATCACCTTATTTAAATAAGGGCATTAAATTTGCGAGTTTCCATGATTGTGGAAATTGACCTAATAGAAACGTAGAGTGAGTAAAACTACGTAATTAGAAAAAATACGCCTTCGGCACACATCTTAATAACTTTGTTCCCAATACCATTATGACCACAGACTTTCGACACATTTACATTTTGCAAAAGGGATATAATACCTCTGAATGTTACACAGAAATTAAGCTACTGAATACGTTTGTCACTTGGGAAGCTGACTAAATGTGCATGGAATTCAGTATTGCCGGTTATCAACTTGGGCTTTGTGTGCTGAATTCTCAAAAGTGCTGGGATGCATGTTTGCGATCATCTTGCCACACAATTTACGAGATATACTACACATTTTTTTGGACTGACTTAAGGATCACAAAGCAAATCATTAGATTTTTCATAAAACGAAGCTTTAGCACATCGAATTATTGTTGTCCGGTTACGCTGGCGCTTATAATTTTGCCACAATGATACAGTTTTAGTCCTGTTATGTTTACGTAATAAACGATCTCGGTTGCATTGCGAACTGCTGGTAAACCCTGTCCTGTAGGACATCGCATTACTTGTTTATCTGTATTTAACGTCATTATCAAAAAGGTTTATAAGCTAATTCTCAGTCTCGACTGCGCATCCATACGTTCTGTGTCGGAATAAATTGCAGTTGAACTATAACATGTAGCATTTCGAAGCATTTTATATTTAACAATTATTCGCCTCAGGCTTGGTGATTATCGGGGAATATTCACCTCGACGAAAAATTGCTTTAGTATTTTTACACAAGCTTTTGTGTTTTTTGAGACTGAATTTATTTTAATTTCGCTTATTTCTTTGTCAGTAAACTTCAACAAAACGGGTATAGTCGCCATTTTGAAAATTTCTGTTTTGTTATATTCATGCACCTGCGTGTAGGTGAATATATAACAGATTATTACGTCAAATTTGAC